AGAGAGAACTATAGTTCCAAAATCCACGGCATCTATCTTTTCCTTTCCACCTAGTTTCCCAGACTTTTTCAATAGCAACACAAGAGAACAGACATGAGTTGATGAAAGAAAAACATAACCCTCGAACAACATCAACACAATCAAACAACAACAAAAGCAAAACATGCAGTATTCGCTAGCTGGCGTATCTGCTGTTACACGTACATTAACATTATATTGAACAACTTTGCCAAAAAAATAAGGCTGCTACACACTGTAGTAATTGACACAACATATACACGTATTCATGTAATGTAATGTAACATATAGATATAGATATAGATACATACATGCATGCAGAGATGGATTTGGGAGGGGAATCTAATAATTGTGAATCTCCTTCCCTCGAAATGCTAGTGTGGAATAAACAGTGATGTTGTGATCTATAATCTATCTAAAGTAAACAGACCTTTCATTCTAGTTCTGAGATCAGATGCAGCTTTTTTTATTTATAGGCATGCAAAACCTTGCAAAGAAGGAAAAGAGAAGAACAAGTTACAACCATAATCACAAAGCCTTGAGACTTTTCAGTTAAAGGTCATGATCTTCTCTAATGCCTCTCCTTTTTTCTCCCAAACAAAACAAGATGATGGTGCTGTCAACTTTGGAGACATGCTCGTTTATTCGTTTTAGTCTCATTTTAGCACATTTTCCTTCTTCTTTTGCGTTGATCAATGTGAATTTAGCCTTTCTTCTTGAAAAGAAAAAGTGAACTTTATCTACTTTTCATTGAATGGAATATGACAAGAGTAACCGAGCCTTTCATTCTTCTTGGAACTCGGAACCTTTTGTTGTGTAGATTGAACGCCAACATTGTTTGCAGCTTGCAAAATTCTCACAGCTTTTAATTCCTACTCACCCACTACCCTCTGTATTCTTTACATGCATGCTTCAATATGGTCGTCATCAGAATTAACCTCCCTCGGTTTCTGAACCCCAATCAATGAGAATATGAAAAGTTAATTAAACAACACATTCTCCATCAGTGAACTCACAGAAATTCTATAAAATAATCATAATATACAAATTTTAATACTCATCAAAAATTATAAAAATACTAAATTTCAATTGAAGTCAGTTTAAATCTGTTTTTTGTTTTCTTAAAAATAAACTGAAATCTTAATTCTTCAGTTGTGTGACATTCGCATATTTATATATATATTTTTGTGAGTTATTTTATTTCCAATAAGAATAAAAGAAAAAAAAGTCTTTTTTTTTCTTTGTTACTTTGTGTTTTTATTTATTTACTATATCACATTGTTTTTATTTAAATTATTTATATTTAAAAGCATGTTAATTAAGCCTTTGTCTAGTTGCCAGATACTAATATTTAACTGAAAATTTCCTTCAAGAATAAATATGGATTATCCAAAGTGAAGAGAGAAGGCTCATTCTTCCAGCACTCCTATAATTTCTTCCTAAACCCCCTAATTAAATAAAATTTTATTTTATTTATAAGTGTTTCCTTTTTGTTTTGTTCAATTAATGATTTTTAAGTCTTGTTACAACATTTTTATTCTTTCCTCTCCTGTTATTCCAAACATTACAAACAATCATAAGAATGTCCAATTTTTTTATAAATTTTTACATGTTGTAACAAATTTTTTACCTAAGAACACAGGAGTGAGAAAACTATAAATTTTTTTAAAACATATGTTTCAGAATACATTTGTAGAATTAATTTTTTAGAAATGCATTCCATAACGTATTTTCTATACTACATTTCTGGAACTGATCTTCTGGATTTCGAAAATTACGTTTCAGAAATTCATTAGGGATTAGGTGTTCCACAATATATTTTTGGAAATGTCAATCTGAAAATACATTCGAATTGTGTGTTCCGAATGTATTTTCGAAAAAACTAATCCTAAAATGTATTATGGAAGACCCATTCTGGAAAGCGTTTCCAGAAAAGCCAATCGGAAATGCATTCTGGATTGGGTGTTCTGGAATTCAACCTCATTTTTGTGACATTACTTTATATTAAATAATTTGGGTCTGTTTATGCAATTTGAGTGCAAAAACTTGTAATTTATATATAATATTAACGATTACTTACCATTAATTATTAGAAAATTCATTTAATGAAGATGAAAGTGTTTAGGGGTGGAGTTGCAAAATTTGTATATAAATAAAAGAAGAAGAGAAAGAAGAGTTTAGAATAAAAAACAAAATCATGGAAAAGATATCTTAGGTATTTGACATGGGATATAAATGTGTAAGGAGAAATTATGAGAGTGCTAGAAACAAGACCCAATAGAAAATAGAGAAAAATAGTGGGCTTACAAAAAGATTAGGCCCAAATCTGAAGCACTTCGACTTGGGAATAGCAATAGCCCAATGGGTAAGTCTATAATATCCATCTTATCTTGTACCAGTATTTGAAACACAGAATATCCTGGGGATTTAATTTTCATTTTAATATATTGGTATCACTAACTACACTTTAAGTTCTGAGTCCTAATAAAAAAATTCAATTTAATATAATTTATCAAATCTTGTTTTATTAGAAAATTTTATAATTAACTATTATAATATTTCACAACCAGCATATAAAACGACAACTTGGTTCACTCAGTCTTTAAAAATAGTGAATGTCAATTTTTTTTTTTAAATTGGTTTTAAAAAAGTACTTTCTCCAATAGCAATAATAATTATAATTATTGTAAATAATACTATAAACAATACATACATTTTAAAAAAATATTTTATGTTTTTTCATATTTTATTGCAGGGTAAATTAGTTCTAAAGTTTAATTTAATATTAATGTTTATAAAAAAATTGCATAATTTAATAATAAAATTTGACTATGTATCACATCATTCTATTATTGAATATGATACAGTGGAATAAAGAGTTTATATTGAGTATTATATATATATATATATATATATATATATATATATATATATATATATAATTTTTTATGATTTATAATAAAATTATTTTGTCTTTTATTTCATAAAACCATTAAAAATATAATTAACAACGCCCTTACATTTAAAGTAACCTATAAGTCAATCAGGTTTCTGACTCGTTGGAATAAAGTTATCCGTCAGATGTCACGTAATTTAATTAACTATTTTTAAAATAATAATAATAATAAGTAATTTCATTTTAAAATGTATAAAATTAAAATTAAAATTAATGTAAATTTCTAATTTTATCTAATTAAAATATAATAATATAATTTAAAACTTAATAATAATTGAAATTGAAACAATTTTAACAGTAATATTATTGACATAAATAATATAACAAAGTTAAATTAAAATATTTAATAAAAATCAAAATTAAATACAATATTAACGATAATATCCTGTTTAAAATAAAAATATTTTATCAAAATTCACTCAATTTTAAAATGTAAACATATAAATAGTTTATTTTATTTAAATTATAGTATGTTATAGTACAAAGTTACACTTAATAATTTTTACCAGTCTATTGATTCAATTTTAAAAACATTAATCATAGATAATCAATCATTTACATTTTGAGGTATAGTATTTTTATAAACACGAGTCGTTGTAATAATTAATCAATAATTTAGATTTTGAAGTATAGTGTTTTTATAGATTTTGTATAGTTTGATCTCATTCTCACCATCATAATCATACTTTTTATATATATATTTTTGACTTTGTTTTTTTAATTTTTGTAAAATCATTGATATTAATTTCCAACTTATTTAAATTTTAACATTGTTATACTTTAAAAGTTATTATACCATTTTGTTCTCTTTCTCCAACCTTTTCATCGGGAAAGTATACCAACCTCACCTTTGAACTCCATCATTTTATGGTTATTAGAGTACAATTGTGAATGCAAGGAAGGTACTTGATTTATTTGAATGACTAAGATGTTTGATGAAAATGTTATTCATTCATTTTATGAACCATAAACTTAATCTAAAATCCAATTTAATCTAAAAATTTCAGAAATTAAGTCCTGAAACATTTGATCTAAAAACATTCATAACTATTTTGCAATTATTTCCAGACCGACAATAATCACCAAAAGAATGGATGGTGAACCTTTATTTCTGGGTTTCAATAATATAATTATTTTTTTCCACTAACTTCTGCTAATGATTTTCACCCTTCTTTCTTTATTCTTCTTATCGCATTTCCCGAATCACAAAGTCTTCAGAAACAATTACTGTTGTTATGAATAAATGCAAATTATAAAGAAAGAATTAAAAGACTAAAAAATTTACTTGATCAGACCATTACAGCTGCGACGACTCTTACCCCTTGGGGGTTCGTGTTTTTCTTGTAAAGAGTGATGGATAATAAATTGATTCACTTTCCAAGAGACCTTTGGCAGTGAAATATCTTACAGATACAGAAGTGGTTCATTCAAATTCATTAATAAACAGTTCTTGCAGAAACACAAAAATCATAATTCAAAATGACACCAATTATCTAATTTGAAAATGACACTTACGGCTTAGTTATAACATTCAATTTTAACAACAAAAACATTCTACCTAACTCAAATTAATAATTATACTCCACCACAACAATTGACAGAGAAATATAAGTCCAGCCAGATCTGATATTGTTTCCAGATTTGTAATAGGAGCACATTAACATCCGATTAAGATTCAAAAGAAGAAGAGACAAAATCCCACACATCTACTCTACTTATAAAAAGTACCACCATAGTTCAAACATAAACCATTGAAAACCTAAAACACCTTAAAGTAAAACTTAAAGCAATCCATAAACATATAACCCTAACAACAACAGAATTCAGCGAGCATTAGTTGGACATTCCCTGGCAAAGTGACCAGACTCTCCACAGTTATAGCAGCTTCCACCACCTCCGCCGCCGCCACCTCCGCCGTACCTGCCACCACCACCTCCACCGTACCTACCACCGCCTCCACCACCTCCGCCGTACCTGTCTCCACCGCCTCCCTGAAAGCAATCCCTAGCAAGATGACCGGACTCACCACAGTTGTAGCAACCACCGCCGCCACCGCCTCGTCCACCACCACCACCACCATAGCCACCACCTCCACCATAGCCGCCACCGTAGCCACCACTTCCACCACCTCGTCCACCGCCATAGCTTCGGCCACCACCATCACCGCCTCGACGGGTGCCCTGGACACTGGCGCCGTCAGGACCGGTGACGTCAACGGCCTTGGCCCGTCCGTCAGCGTCAGATTCAATGGCGAACTCAACAGACTCTCCCTCCGCCAGACTTCGGAAACCGTCAGATTTGATCTGTGATTGGTGAACGAAGAGATCCTCGCTCCCGTCGTCGGGGGTTATGAACCCAAACCCCTTCTGATCGTTGAACCATTTCACCTTCCCACTCACTCTTCCACTCATCTTGTGTTACTTTTTCGCAAACCCTCAAACTTCAGGGTTTCGCCAAAGAAAGAGTGCTATATATAACTAATTTTTTATTGGGCTTTTTTCATTGTGGGCCACGCTTTTTCTACTCTTTTAATTAATTCAAACTCGCTGTTATTATTCTATTGACCTAAAGTAATAACTCACTATCCAAATTCTATTCATCCAATGGTCAGGGAACTTTGTCATTATTTATTATCATAATTTACCGTTGGATAGTCTATTATTCAAAGGAGACTGGTCAACATTTTTCTTTCCTTCATTTTATATTTAATTAATTATTTTTTATTATCTTCTTTTCCTATAATTTCTTCTAAATTATACTTTCTTTCTTTCAATTATTACTGTTATAGATTTTTAAATAAATTAGTTATTTTTTCTACATTTCAAAATAATTACAAATTTATTAATATATTTCAAAAAAATATAATATTAATTATATATATCTTTAAAATTATTTATTTCTTTCTTATTTAAAATTATATATTTTTGATAAAAGTATTTTTTGAAAAAATAATTATTTCAAAAAAAAATGATACTCATTATTATTCATAATACATTACGTAATTGAAAAATATAACAATAAAATAAAGTACTTTTAAAAAGATTAGTATGATTGTTATATATATATATCTATCTGTTACACAATCTTAAACTAAAATAGAATGTATTGTTGTCACTACTTAAATTTAAATTTTATAACAATAATATTTACAAGAGTTAAAAGTTATAAAAATTATAAAAATAAATTACTTAATTTAAAATTATAAAATTTCTTATTATTTTTTTGAAATTTATGTCTATTTCTTTATAACTCAATTTGATAATATTATAAATTCAACCTTTTTCTATTTGACTAATATTAATTATAATTTATTTTAAATTCAAAATTAATCAAGATATTTTTTATCACTATTTTTAAATATCAAATTTCTTAGTAAATTAATTAAAAATCACAATAAATTGATATTAATTTAAATAGTGAAATTTTTTAATAAAAAAATAATCTCAATAGAAAAATATAATTTAAATTGTTAAATATTTAATATTAAAGAAAAATGATATTTTAATGTAACTAAAATGAGATAATGAATATAATATATTTTATTTAAAATTTATAAAACAAATAAAGATGTATTTTATTATATAGAAAGATAGATATATAGATACATCATTATAATAACTTCTTCTTTTTTCTGGCTACTTTTGAACAAATATATTTCTTAATTGAGATACTTCACAACTGATCATTAAAACTCAAATAATTAATAATTTCAAGTGAATGATTATTTTTAAAAATATTACACTAAACTTATATATTTTAAAATATAGTATGAAAATGATTTTTTTTATTTATAGATAATTTTAAAAATTGAATAATAAACTTAATATTAATTAAGAATATATTTTTTATAGATTTATATTATGATAGTAACATTGACTATCATATTAATATTTATTTTAAAGATTATCTTTTTAAGGTAATTTTAAAATATATGCCATGAAAATTAAGAATCAGAACATTTTATGAGCATGTAGTAAGTTTACCATAAGTCGTAGTTTGTTATTTTAATTAATAGTTAAAGATAAAATTTTTAGTTTTCCTGTATAACTACACTTGAGTTTTTTGTTTATTTATTGGAATATCTTTTATGATCAAGAATAATTGAAACTAAATACTTTTTCGTTATATGATTAAATTTTAAGTAACAATGCAGATATAATAAAAAAATCAATAAACATTTAACAAATGAAGTTATTTTTGAATATTATTGATATAACTACTTCTCATTTTTATTATTTGTTTTCTTTTAAATTTAATTACTCTAACCAATAATTCAATATAAATAATTAGTTAAAAAAAAAGAAAATTATCAAAAATAAATCTTTCAAATGAAAAAAAGAAGAGAATATTGCAAAACAATCACAAGAGTTAAATAAAGTCTAAACTATTAAAATAATTTGATTTTACTGTTTACTCCATTATGTATAGTTCCCACAAAGGTGATTCTAAATGGGCCTTGTACAATTGGGCCCATAATTAATAACCGATTCAATGAATACCATGTGATGACATAAAAGTCCAAAACATGATTTATCCAATAATCTACCATAGTATGGAATACACTGTTTGATTATAAATTTATCATTTTATGAAAATAAAACTCCAAAAACATAATCATTTCAGCTTAGCAAAGTGCACTTAAGAGGAACCCTAATCATGTGTACGAATAAGAGATAAATATAACAGTGGATGAAATAAGCGTTGTAGAAAATAGGTAAGAAGAAGACTTTTTTTCATAAATAATACTGTTTTCAAAAATATTTACCCAAATAGCACCTCTGCAACTTTATTTACACAATTAGCACTGTTTACTGTTCATTTAATAAAATAATATTATTTTGCGCAACTGTTCACTGTTCATTTAATAAAATAATATTATTTCACGTACTGAACTCTCGCTCAAGCGAAGAAAACCTTCGCTTGAGCGAGGAAACCTGTAACAAAGGGGTAGTCTGCGGTAAATTCTCGCTCAAGCGAAGGTTTTATCGCTTGAGCGAAAAGTATGATCGACTATTATCCCATTATAGTCGATCACTTTGACATATATGACTTTAGATAGCGGTTATTTGACCACCCGCTATCTAAACTACGCTATCTAAAGTGACTCAAGCGAAAATCACACCGCTTGAGCGAGGACACCTGGAAACAAGGGGGACTCTCGTTATATCTGAAATGGGAGAGCTACGGATAGAAACCGAAGTACATTCCTTTTATTGATGTATGAAAACCGTAATGTTTATATACAGTAGAAATAACAAATAACGAGTAGAACAGAGAACGTGAACAAAACAGAAAAAAAAACTAAAAGAAACCCATGCACGTAATGCATGCCCCATGCACATAATACCCATACAGGTAACTACCCATCATGCATTTTGACTTAAATCTCAACATGCCTACTTAAGTCAAAACTGAACAATTCTCAGACACTCTCTGAGTTTACAAAATCTAGCAGCCTTCAAAGGCTTTGTAAAGATATCTGCACTCCAAATATCCTCCTCCAAATAGCCATTTAAGAAGGCAGATTTTACGTCTAGTTGGTGGAAAGACCAACCCTCCAACCATGTTTATATCAGTTAAAACATTTTACAAACATTTTCTCGAGAGTGATTCAATCGATTGATTCGCGTTTTAATCGATTGATTTACTTTAAAACTTTCTTATAAAACTTTTCAAGTTATTTTAATTGATACAAAGAAGTTTTAATCGATTAAAAAACTGCATGTAATTTTTCTAAGTTGTTTTAATCGGTTGAAACGAGTTTTAATCGATTGAAACTCAGTACAAAGTTTTTCCAAGTTATTTTAATCGATTGAAATGCGTTTTAATCGATTGAAATAGGTCTGATCGGTCATAATTCAATTCTGATCGATCATAACCACCTCTGATCGGTCATAATTTCATTCTGATCGATCATCCTGACTTCCAAAGTGGTTTTAATCGATTAAAAGAAGTTTGTATCGATTAAAATACTGTAAAAACACTTCTTTAAACATTCTAAGTGATTTTAATCGTTTCTTTTAAAACTATATCAGTTAAAAACATTATTAAGAAAGTTCTTTGTCAAAATGCTTTTGTTTTTGATTTGTTTAAAACTATTTTTGAGGCATTTTGCAAAATGATGAAAAACTTTGTACAAACTTTTTCGAAGTTGTATTAATCGGTTGAAACGCGTTTTAATCATTGAAGCTCTGTACAAAATTTTTCCAAGTTATTTTAATCGATTGAAATACGTTATAATCGATTGAAACAGATTTCAATCACTTTGTCGCTCGAGCGAAAGTCCGCGTCGCTCGAGCGAAAGCAACCCGAGAGTCCCCTCGTTTCCAGGTGTCCTCGCTCAAGCGGTGTGATTTTCGCTGAGTCACTTTAGATAGCGGTTATTTGGCAAACCGCTATCTAAACTACTATATTAGATAGCGGTTCAGCAAATAACCGCTATCTAATGTTAGTAGTTTAGATAGCGGTTAGCCAAATAACCGCTATCTAAAGTCATATATGTCAAAGTGATCGACTATAATGGGATAATAGTCGATCATACTTTTCGCTCAAGCGAGAAACCTTCGCTGAAGTGAGTATTTACCCTGCACTACCCCTTTGTTACAGGTTTCCTCGCCAGCGAAGGTTTTCTTCGCTTGAGCGAGAGTTCAGTACGCGAAATAATATTATTTTAATATAGTGAACAGTTGCGCAAAATAATATTATTTTATTAAGTGAACAGTAAACTGTGCTAGTTGTGTAAATAAAGTTACAGAGGTGCTATTTGGGTAAATATTTTTGAAAACAGTATTATTTATGAAAAAAAGTCTAAGAAGAAAGAGAGAATAAAAAAGAATGATGATGATATAGAAAGTATGTATGAGTTACGTGAGGAAGTGTTATATGAAAGTAACATTTGCCATACATGAAAAAACTAGCCATGTTTTGTTGTCTTTTTTTTTTTTTTTTTTGCTGGAGAACGCGTCTTAATAATACTTTTTAGAAAATAGTGTATGAAGAAACAGGGATGGACCTACTTAATGGATCTGGACGTTGTGAGCATGTCCCACTGGTTTCAAAAGAAAATTGTACCCCTTTATATAATTTGTGTCTGAGATATATCCATTTCATTTCCTAAAAACATCTGTACTTACTTTTTCGAAAATATCTTCTGACCAAGGTAGGGTTCATTTTTTTTATTGGGTTAAATCCATCACAATTCAATCTCTTATTCCCATTCAGTAACAAATTTTGTATGTTGAACGTTGTCTCAGTCTAAAATTATTAAATGATAACATAGTTATTATTTTATTTATTTGATTATTATATTAAATAAATATGTATTTTTTAAATATTAAATTATTTAAATAATAAATAATATAATATATTTAAAACAATATTTTTAAATTTTTTAAAGTATATATTTTTTTTAAATTATAATCTAATTAATTCTATCTCATTCATAAAAAGTAATTATATAGATTAAATAGAATAAAAGAAATAAAAAAAAACTATCAAACCCAATAGAATAATAGAACGATGGTCTAAGACTAGTTTTTTTTTATTTGAGTTAAATGTTTATGATCTATTTTATAGAAGCAAGTAAGCTATAAAACTAGTATATTTAATATATGGCTGTAGAGTGTAGAGTTTATTATTTTTAATTATTACGTGCTTGTTTATATTTCCAGTATATAAAAAAAATTCTTTAAGTTTAAATATTTAAGTTTATATATAAAATAATCTTCTTTAAAATACAAAACTAAATATGAACAAATAATATAAACACTCATTTTTTTATTATTTTATGAATTTTAGTATATAAGTTTCAATTTTTACATAGTCTATCCTTTTTCTTTTACATTTTTATATAATTTTCTTGTTCATTTTTATTTATCTTATTATCGATTATTGGAGTAAAAGTTGGTAAAACAAATTATAAATAAAATTATTCATCATTGTGTTAATATTTTTGAGTTAAATTATGTATTTTGTTTTTCACGTGACTTGTATTTATTAATAAATATCTCTACTTGTGATTTTTAATATTATTTAATATTTTTAACTATTTTATTATTATATTAATAATAAATAATATTGTTTTTAAATATTAATGATAAAAAATAGTTATGATTTTTTACACATTAATATTTATTATATATTTAATATGATTATCAAGGGATAATTTTATCTTAGTCTTTCAGTGAAATAAAGAAAAAATGATTTCGTGTAATTTATATTTTTAACTTATATTTTAAAATAAATTATAATTATTTCTTTGTTGGACTAATAAAATAATTTATTTTTAAAATATATATAAATATAAATTATATTAATAAAAATAATTTTTATTTTAATGATTATATATAAAATAAATAAGTACTAAAAATTTATTTTTATACTCAATTATTAAAATAAGTAATTTTTTATTAAATTAAATTTATATATATATAATATATTTTTTTAATAATTATCAGTTTATAAAAGATATCTATTCCTAAACTTGACTTACCTATAAATATCACATAAACCTATTTTCATCATAATCAAAATCAACCATATCAAAATTTATCTAATTTAATTTATGTTACTGAGGTATTTGTCTTGAGTATTAAATTGATAAAGTGTAAGTAAATATTTATTTTTATATGTGAGAATAATTATTTATATATATTTAAATGTACGTGATTAAGTAAATTATTCAAAAAAATAGATGATAATAAAAAAATTGATTAATTTCTTTTGCTAAGTTTTGTTTTGTCCTTTTTGCATATCTCTTTCTGACAGCTCAAAAAGATGCGTAAATGAAGGATGGTCTGTTCCTATCCTTTCTTTGGAATGAGTGGATTAGACCGGGACATTGCTATTTACATGTCATAAAAATATTTTTTCAACTTTTTTTGTTATAAAATGAATATTTTAGATTCTATTAACAACAACTGACATATTTTAATAGACCAAAACAAACTGCTAGCATTAACAAGGGGATAAATTTCCAGTATCCAGGATCATGAACTCTGCAAAAGGAAGTGTTCATAATTCCACTACTCAGAAGAAGAAAATGATGAAGAAGAAGGAAAAAAAAAAGGGACAAAATGGTTAATAATAATATTGTACATCTACCAACATTGGTCCGTTTCCCATTTCCTCCCACTTCCTCCAGTGCAGGAAAATGTCTGATTTCTTCCTGCCATGGAAGCCATCTTTGCTGATCTTTTGTATCTATAGATTTCTCTGTCATACTCAGCTCTCTTCTCTGGGTCAGACAACGTTGAGTAAGCTGAATGGATCATCATGAATTGGTGAGCTGAACTTTCCTTCTGATTCATGGCCACAACGTCAGGATGGTAAGTTCTTGCGAGCTTTCTGTAAGCAGCCTTTATTTCCACGCAGCTTGCACCAACTGAAATTCCAAGCACTTCATAGAGGGAAGCCATTTTTGTGTGTCACAAGAACAGGGTCTTCTGTTTTCAGTTGTAGGTTGAATAAATTGAACAAGTGGAGACAAATTTTCCAGAAAAATTGAATCTTTTACCCTTGGAAGATTAGATATCAGTGGATAAGAACCAGGGGTGAACAGAAAAAATGTGGAACTGTTAGGTAGGAGGGAGATTGAAGGTGGATAAGGGTTGAGTTGAGTTGAGAAGACTAGTATGTGAGTGTGTTTATATAGAAGACATGTCGAGCAATAGTGTGTGTATACAAATGAAAAGTGAAAATTTATGTAACATACGGATAGCTGTGAACGGCGAACGTGAATGACTTGTAGGAGTCAGTCAATGTTCTGAAAAGTTAATGTTATGAACAGTTGTTTATCCATAAGATCATGTTCTTTGCTGACTCATCAAACTATTCAAATGGATAGGCTTACCATTTTCTTATGTGGTCCTAACTTTCTTACTATATGCATTCAATTTACAGTGTTTTAGCTTCTTGCTGAATATTTGTAATGGATGAGGTCATACTAAGCTTAAAACCTGCAACCTTTGATACCAGAGGAGAAAAAGGTTTAACAGATCAACAACTGATGAAATTTGTTAAACATTCAGTGGAGAATGGAGATGATAAGTCTCCAATGACAGGTCCAATTCTAGGGTGATGAGAGGTATATATGATTTTTTTTGTTCTTACTTATAGTTTTTTTAATTACGGATTCTTAAGTATTGTTGTCCTTATTATCCAATAATTTATTCAGACACTGACAAAATGAAATATGAGCAGTGATTTTACGATGGAATCAAAGAATTACTTTACCTTCTTAATATTTTGTAGTATTTGTATGCTGTATGGTATAACCTAGGGTTTCAAGTGATATGATTAATATAATTATTGACTTAGTCAAGTATAAAATGAGTGTCACATTATAAAAAAAAGTGTCATATTAAAAGACAAAATTAGTAAACATCCTCATTAAAGATAAATATACCTAACTAAAGTGATTGTTGAAGGTAAATAATTAAGAAATATTTTCTTTTGTATAGGAAATTATACTTATTAGAATTTAAATCTATATTAAAATCTTAAATGAAATAGAAAAAAAGGTTAAATAAAATATAAATAAAACACTACAAAAAAACGCTTATTATCTACTGGTAAAATCTGTAGGTAATGACAAAAATTCATAGGTAATGTCACTTTACCTACGGATTTATTTCCGTAGAAAATCCGTATGTAATACACTCACCTAAAACAAAATATTTTTATTTATTACAAACCCCTCCCCTTTATATTATATTTTTATTATTTATTATATCTTTGGAACATTGCATTATTATTAGATTAGGGAATTGTCATTGATAACGATTCGAATCCAATACCTCGAGTTGAAGGTCGATACTCCAACCACTAAGTCTATTAAGATATTTTGATAATAATTTACAAATAAATTATATTTATATTTATCCGTGTAAATATATAAATATAAAAAATATATATAAATATAAAAAATATAAATATAAAAAATATAAATATAAAATATATATAAATATAAAAAATATATAAATATAAAATATATTTATATTTTGATATATTTATATATTTGTATTTATATATTTATATATTTATATATTTATATATTTATATATTTATATATTTATATATTTATATTTATATATTTATGTATTTATGTATTTATATATTTATCTATTTATATATTTATGTATTTATATATTTATGTATTTATGTATTTATGTATTTATATATTTATGTATTTATGTATTTATATATTTATGTATTTATATATTTATGTATTTATATATTTATGTATTTATATATTTATATATTTTATATTTATATATTTATATATTTTATATTTATATATTTATATATTTATATATTTTATATTTATATATTTATATATTTTATATTTATATATTTATATATTTACACGAATAAATATAAGTATAATTTAGTCGTAAATTATTATTAGAATATCCTAATAGTTTAGTGGTTGGAGTATCAATTCTTTTAGTTTAATATAATTTACCTACGGATAGTAATTCAGTAGGTAATTACCTACTGAATTACCCACGGATGACATTACCTACGGATAATATCCGTAGGTAATGGATAATTACTCACGGATAGAATTTCGTAGGTAATATCCGTAGGTAATGTACACTTTACCTACGGATAGTAATTACGTAGGTAATTACCTACGGAATTATCCACGGATTACATTACCTACGGATAATATCCGTAGGTAATGGATAATTATCTACGAATAGAATTCCGTAGGTAATATCCGTAGGTAATGTACAATTTACCTACGGATTTTCATCCGTGGGTAATATCCGTAGGTAATATCTGTAGGTAATATAAAATTTACCTACGAATTTTTATCCGTAGGTAATAAGCTTTTTTTTGTAGTGAAAAATAACCACAAATCTATTCTCTTATATTACCAATAGAGTCATATTGTGTAATTATTTTCTATTTCTTGATTAAATTCATTATGGATTTAAATCTCTTTTAAAAAACCTTATGGAGGTATATTTATATCACAATTAAAAAATAGTATTATTTTATTATTATTTTTTTTTACTTGCTTATATAGAATGATGAGTGGCTGACTAAACCATTGACATCATCATGAAAATTTTAGTAAACTGTATAAACGGTTAAGTAGTTTTTATGACAAAATAATTTTATTATATGTAAATTTCGAATTCGATAACAAAATAAACAAAATCTTTATATATATATATATATATATATATATATATATATATATATATATATCCTTTTTAAATGTTGATTAAATAAATTAAAAATTAAAATCTTAATTTAATTTGATATAAAAGCTTATAGAACATGTGTCGCAAAATATAGAATAGAGAGATAAAAATAGCATGTGAAAATGATCTTATTCTAAAAATGGAAATTTGAATTTTTATACCGGTAGATTAAAATATTTTTTTATGATATTTATATTCATTCATCAATTTCTGGATGTCTCGTGTAAATTATTTTACATATTTCAAGATGATTTTCAAAACAAGACACAGACAAATAATTATGGATATATAGATTAAACCGTACATGGAAATTTTAATTATTTATAGAGGTTTAATAAATAGTGTTTTAATTATATATTTATTTATTTGTTCATATGATGTTTGAGCTTTCTTATAACTTTTAAAAATATTTATTTCAAACCTGAAACAATTCAATCCTAAATCTCATCAGAGTAAAATAAAGTGGTTCACTTGGTTTGTGCTTATATTTAAAAATAACTTATATTTAGTAATTTAAGTAGATTTTTACTATTTTAAATATTAGTTTGATTTATTATTTAAAAAATAAACAGGATTTGATTTTTTTTTCTTTGTTTTTTAAATAAGTAATTTTTTTAAAAACCAATTATTTTCCATCACATCCAATTACATAAACTGAATAACGACACGAAGGGAAGAGACGCATCAGAAAATTGTAGCTTGTTGGTAATCCCGTGATGCACGATTCACTCAAAATTAACATCAAAATCTCTTTGTACTCACGTTTTCTGCAGTGGTCCTCTCTACATTTACTCTGTTCTTGAATGTTGCAATGCATGGACCCAAACCCAAAAATTAATGCTCCCAAAACAAATGCTTGCATAACAATTTCACTAATTAAGTTTTGTAATTACTTTAATATAAAAATTAATAAAATGTCACAAATTAATAAAAAACGGTTTTGAAATATTTTAAATTATAAATATGCATATGAACAAGGCATGTTTACATTTTATTGGATAATAAATAAAATAAAATAAAAATTAAAAAAAGTATCTATTGTATGTTTACTACTTCGTCAAACTCATGCATCATTTACTTTCCCTTTTGGCATATAGTCATGCAACACTTATGTTATATAGCAACAATTACTCGAGTCACAGTAACAGACATATATAAATAATGACTCAGAAGAAAATTAAAAGATTCCTACACGACAAAATCATAATTAAACCAATGTACTCAGCATAATTAGTTTCAAAAACTACTCAAAAGTTGGTCACAGGTGACAAAGCCATTCCTTTTATAATACTGCACAGTGAAGACATCTAAGATCAACATAAAAACACGTTTATATAACTTTTGAGTCATTGCTTGGGTCGTGTTCTATCTCACTTTTTTTTTTTTTTATACATAATAGTGCTATATGAGGAAGAGATAAACAATTTGATACTAAAAAAAGGAAAATAATATATCTTATTCATAGAAATAAATATGTGATATTTGCAAGAACACGAAAAGATTCTTATCAAATAATATCCAAATTCTTTCTTATAAAAAATATTATCTTTAAATTAAATTTTGAAATATTATTAAGTGGGTTATGATAATATGGTAGGTTAAGAGAGGAGAGTGTATATAAATCACATTTGGTGTTAACTCTTAAGTGATATGCAACTCATGAGTATAATAGAGCATAAGCCTTAATCAAGGACTAAGAGACATGTAAGAGTAGAGCTAGGGATGGCAAAACGGGTCAGCCCGCCCTGTCCCGCGGGTTGGCCCGTCGGGTTGGCGGGATTGGCGGGGCGGGCCAAAGCGGGTTGGTGGGCTAAAAATACCAACCCGCCCCGCCATATTATGGCGGGCTGGCGGGGCCGACCCACCGGGTCTAGCCCGTTTTATCATCCCTAAGTAGAGCGAGACTCTACTCCTGGCCCCATGATGAGCGTCGATATTCAATATAGGAAAAAGAGTGTTCTGGTTTCTTGTCTTCTATGATAATATCGTTAGGATCAATTTCCATGTTCGAAGTATTGTCTGTTTTGGAACTTTCGTTTGTAACGATTTGTTCTTAAAATGCGCTTCGGTGGATTAAAAGAAGATGGTGTATATAAACTACCTTTGATATCAACTCCTAAGCGATGTGAGATGTTATTGACAGACTGATGGAGGTCGGCAAAAAGATGTGATGAATGACTTCCTTTGGAAAAAGCATAGGT